CTACGCCCTTTGCAGTCAGATGCACAGACAGAGGGCCCAGAAGGGGCGGGGATGCGGGGTGTCACTGCTCAGGTTGGATGGCAGCTGCTCCCTTCACACAGCCTGTCACCCACCATGCCACTGCTTGTGGAAGTCAGCTGTGCAGGTGCCAGGCCAGGAAGTGAAGTACTCACAGGCCTGAAGCTAGTGTGATCCTGCCTTGTGGAATCTACTGAATAAAAAAGGCTTTGCACATCCATCGTTGATCCTTAGTATTACCCTCCCAGGTCAGGTCTAGAGGACAAAGTGACCCAGCCCACAGGCCACTCTTTCTTAGGAACCTGGAAAATGAAGAAAATAAGATGACCTCATGATCTAAGTGTTTGCTGGGACAGCACAGTCACCCCCAGGCCTGATGGAGGTACTGGTGGGGGAGGGCTGGGGTGAGGCCCAGAGAAGACAGATGGGGAACAGAGGCTGTCTCTAGGGAAAGCTCAACAGAGAGCCCCTCAACCCTTGTTTCCATTGAAGGAAGTAAGAGAAAAAGCCTATCTGCCTGACTGGAAATTGGATTTCTGTTTTCAAACTGGTCCTCTGACCACCAGCTGATCCTAACTATAAGCAAAGTTGGACTCAGCTTCTGATGGCCTGAGGCAATGAACTCCAGGCTCACTCTGGAAGGGCTGTCCCATGAGACAGCTCATGTCACCCTGAGGGAGGTGCACTGGCCCCTGAACCCCAGATGGAAAGAGCAGGGCCAGCAAGTTAAACAACCCTAATTAAAGTCCTTGCCCCACCAGGTAAGCTTTGGACTTCAAGCAAATCACTTATCCATAAGGAGACTCTGTCTTCTCATCTATGCAGTGGGATTATAATCCTTGCTGCAGGTCTATGAGGCAGGCACCAATTGATATTATAAACTAAAATGTTTAATTAAATGCCTCACGTTTAGTAAATACTCAGTAAGTACTCAGCAATTGTTATCATAAGTGTGATTACACATACTGAAATAATCTTATTAGTATTTGCAATAAGCAACCATTTACACTGTCTCTTGGTTCACAATGATCAAGTTTTTTCAATGGAGAGCATTATCTTAAATCAATTGTTACTGAGTCTAAAGGAGAATATATGTTCCTCAGGAAAGAAAGGAAAACTACAGAAGAGATTAAAGAAGAAACTACAGCCAGGCACAGTGGCTCCGCACTATTTTATTTTTTATTTTTTTCTTCTGCGTTGTTTTTTTGTAGAAGAGGTAACTAAAAGTGATAGGAATCTGAAATTTGTTCAGGAAGTACGGATTAGGTATCTGTCAAACTTGAAAGGCAGAAGAAAAAAGTCATAGAAGATTGTGCCTGCCTAACTAAGGCGTACAGACAAAAGAATAAGGTTTTAGGCTTTTCATTATAGGAAAATTTAAAACATGCAAAACAGAGATAACAGAATGAATGCTTGCGTACTGACTGAGTTTCTTCCAGTTACCAGTGTACACGCTGGTTTACACCTCATAACTGTGCTGTTTTGTCTATAGCTTTCCTGCTTGTTTAAGTGTGTAGGATCTGGGTAGTTCAACTGAATTTCCTTGAATATTGTAGGTTTAAGAGATTAAGAGGTTTGGAATTTGAGTCAGCTATATATAAAGTCAGCATTAATTATAATTTATGTTAAATTCTCCAACTATATAAATAAAATACGTATGTTAAAATATTATTTAAAATTAAAAGACAAGGCCAGGTATGGTGTCATATGCCTATAATCCCAGCACTTGGGAGGCTGAGGCAGGAGGATCGCTGCAAGTTTGAGGCCAGCCTTGGCTACATAGTGAACTCAAGGTAGGGCCTGCACTGTACAGGCCCTGCCTCATAAAAAGAAAAAAAAAAAAAAAAGGTGGAGTGGCCCAATCCCACAACACCCATAATCCCACAATCCAAAGATAACCACTATTAATTTTGGATAGATCTCTCCGATGTCTTTCTGTGTGTGAAAAGATAAATGTATATAAGTAAGACCACGATGTGCATGTATGACCATTTTCCTAAGAAAATGGTGCTAAATTCCTCTGCATCATAATTTGCACAGCCATTCTCTCATTGTTAGGCTTTGTGATTTTTCTCCAGTATTTTTGCTCTTATAAATCAGGTTATCATGGAATCCTTTGTATAGAACTATTTACATGCTTATAGTTTTCTGCTGAAGAAAATGATCTTTTCAGAATTTGTGAATCAAAAGACATAAACTTCTTAAAGTCCACAGAACATTTTGCCAAACTAGTTTCCAATAAGGTTCACTGAATTATCTTCTCATCAACAGAACACAAATATTCATTTTTAAAATCTTTCATTTCAAAGGAAAATAATCTTTGTGGATTTTCAGTGTGACACAACAAGTGAATTTCATGGATCACTGTCTGCCTTTTCTATTTCTGTTTTGTTTTGTCTTTTTGAGACAAGATTTCCCTATGCAGTTCAGGTTGGCCTTGAACTCACTTTGTAGACCAGACTGGCCTCAAACTTGCAGCGATCCTCCTGCCTCAGCCTCCCAAGTGCCGGGATTACAGGCATATGACACCATACCTGGACTTCTCTTTTAATTTTAAATAATATTTTAACATACATATTTTATTTATATAGTTGGAGAACTTAACATAAATTATAATTAATGCTGACTTTATATATAGCTGACTCAAATTCCAAACCTCTTAATCTCTTAAACCTACAATATTCAAGAAAATTCAGTTGAACTACCCAGATCCTACACACTTAAACAAGCAGGAAAGCTATAGACAAAACAGCATAGTTATGAGGTATAAACCAGCGTGTACATTGGTTACTGGAAGAAACTCAGTCAGTACGCAAGCATTCATTTCATTATCTCTGTTTTGCATGTTTTAAATTTTCCTATAATAAAAAGCCTAAAACCTTATTCTTTTGTCTGTACTCTTTAGTTAGGCGGTACAATCTTCTATGACTTTTTTCTTCTGCCTTTCAAGTTTGACAGATACCTAATCCGTGCTTCCTGAACAAATTTCAGATTCCTATCACTTTTAGTTACCTCTTCTACAAAACAACAATGCAGAAGAAAAAATAAAAAATAAAGAACTCCAAACTTACAGGATAGTTGGAAGAAGGAAATGAAATAATGCAATGGTATGGACCAGTGCCTGGCACACAGTAGGTGCTCAATAAAGGATTTCATTTATCATTATTATTATTGTTTATCATTATTATCACTATTATTATTACTGTTACTTCAATTTCTGTATTTCATGTTGCAAGAATTGGCAGCAGAGCCCGGTCAATTAAGCAGGAGACAGTGATCATGAGGAAACTGACAGGGCTGGAAGACAAGCTGACGACGAGATGGCAGCATTGCTGGCTCACAAGCCTGGCCAGGAGAAAGCCGAGACTGCCGCGGCCCTGCTGCTCACAGGTGGTGCCAGCCCTTGCCACCATCACCCTAGCCGGACCGCTTCTGCACCAAACCTGTGCAGCTCTGTGAAGCCATAGTTAGAGCGGCAGACAGAAAGACTGAAGTATGGGGTTTCTCCGCAGGCCAGAGAGCTTGGCTTGTGGGGTAAGCAAACCAAACCTTCATTCCTGAAGAAGCTGAGCCATTGATGGCCTTGCGGTCCCAGGGTGGAGACAGGTGTCTTCCGTACTTAAATTCCAAAATAATAAGAATTTTAAGAGTAGACAAGCCCACAGAAGAACTTCTGAATTCCATGCTTCCTCCTGCCTGGCTTTGTTAGCAATGTCTTTCACACCTGATAATCAGATTTAATCACCCCGGCTCCCGGCTCCCGGTGTGCTTTTCTTTAGCCCCTTTGCCACAGGTGTGAGGAGCCTGAAATAGCCACGTGGCAGCTGGGCTTCCTGACCGGCTGAACCATCGCTGTGTGTCCCGATGAAGGGATGTCACCTGGGCCCCAAGCGAGCAGAACCCACAGAACCAAGGATGAGAGGGTTGGATGGTAGAGATTCACTTCTGTTGTACTTTCATTTTCATGCAGCACCTCTGAAGTGATTGCTCAGAGTACACACACCACTCCTCCAGGGACAGACGGCACTCTGCTAACCTGGCAGCCTGGCACTGAGGAGGAGCAGTCAACTTCTCCTACTTCTGAAGGCCACGGGCGATGTACTTAGGCCACTGCAATCCTGTTGGCACTGAGATTCCTTAGAGCTGGTTCATACAAAGTGATTCCTTATTCAGCCATGAATTTATAATGTAAAAATACCTTGTCAATTAGATTGACAGACTTGATCACTCTAAGAGCAGTTATAAAAGTAGAAATTCTTCATGGCGTGGAGATAAAGAAAACCCCAGCTGGGATGACCCTTTCAAGGCTTCTTGACCTTCAGCATTCCGTGTGGGAAGTTGCTCAGTCTAACACTGGGGTACTGGGGAGCCCAGGTCCCAGTCACTGAGCACCAAGGGAGAGATCTGGAGGGATGCAAGCCTTCCCCTTAAAATCTTGATGACTTGATACCACTGGATCCCAAAAGTGTTTGTTACTATGGCCTGTTACCCATGAAAAAATGCTTCTAAATCTTGTTTGGCTGTCAACATAGACATTTTATAGACAAAGGAGCTGAGGTTCAGAAAGGCTAAGCTGATGTGAGGGAGAGCACAGCCAGGAAGTGAGGGCAGCCAGGAAGGGAAGTGACCCGGACTTCCTGTCCCCAAGCGCGATGAACTCACCTCACCGATGCTTCTGAAGACACTCAGACCCAGCCTGGTGTTACTCAGCCGAAAGCCGACACTTCCCAAACACTGAGTCACAGCCTCCCCTGTCCTCAGCTGCGTCAGCATCACAGCAGGCTGCATCCAGAGTGGCACACCCGCCCTCTGCTGTAGCCCCTTACAGGAAGGCACAGGACCAGAGCTGCCAGGAACCCAGAAAGGAGGTAGAGCTCTTTGCTGACCTAGGCTGACCCCATCCAGTGACCCAACCCGAACAAGCCGGAGGGGTGGGTTGTCGATGTCGCTCCCGGCCGGCAGGAAGGACACACGACAAAGTCTGGCAGTGGACAACCTTTTCTTTTATTTTCTCTCCGTACAGCCTGCCCTGGGATCGCTCCCAGCCGAAGCCTCCTCTGGTCCGCTCCCCGCGGCTCCTTCCGTGCTTCGCTCCGAAGCCTCTACCGGTCCGCTCTCCGCGGCTCCTTCCGGGCTTCTACTTCCCCCCAGGGGTGGCACCAGTATATATACGGATACAGTGTCCAATCATGTTAAAGTAAGCAAGGCAAGCTGATTGGCTAACATATTATTGAGCGGGTTGTTTACGCGGTAAGCAGGAAACTAACGTGCTCGATGGGAGGGGTAATCTAACTCAGGCTTTACTCTTTACCACAGGCCGCATGATCGCTATATGCGGCGGCTCGGCAATGTGGTGGCTCCCAACAGTGGGTGACGCTGCCAAGGACCACATCAGAGAGACATTTGAAGAGCAAAAGTTTCCGCAGAGAACATGGAACCCCTGAGTGAGTGAGTTCTCAGCATTCTTGGGGCCTGACTCATGTGGGGGTGGGGGGGGGGGTCAGGGCACAGATAGGGGCGGATAGCAGGCAACAGGTAGCAGGACGGCAGAGCTGGACAGCGTGGTGGAGACTACCTTTCTTTTTTTTTTTTTTTTTCATTTTCTTTTTTGTCTATTTCGTTTTTATCGGTACCAGGGATCGACTGTCTGCTTGCAAGGCAGGCGCTTATGCTGCTGAGCTAAATCCCCAGGCCCAAGCCTACCTTTCTTTCAGCAATGAAGAAACCGTAGTCGAGAAGACTGACTGTTCCAGAGTCACACGGCTAAGAAGGAACCACACAGGGAACCGAACTGCCGTGTTCTCCTCTGATCAGTGTTACTGAGCACTTTCCAGGCCCCAGAGGACAAGCAAGTACTAAGAACAGGGCAGAAAACAACACGAGCGATTCCACCTCCTCCCAGAGCTGACTCTCTAGCAGACAGGAGACAACTGAACAAAGGTACCCAGAAAGTATGAGGATACTATGGGGGGTGGGGAGGAGATCAGTCCCGCCCAGCCCAGGCGTTCAAGAAAGGGGTCCTGAGGGTCAACTGAGAGCTCAAGACTGAGATGTACTAACCGGGTAAAGTGAGATTTAGTAAAGGAATTTCACTTTGCTCTACCACAGCCTTACTTACCTCCCACAGGCCTGAGGCCAAGGGCAATGCATCCACGCAGCCACAGTTTGGAGCTTTGGGCTGTGACCCAGGGCTGTCCGAAACTCCTACACAACAGCCGGGGCTGTGAAGAGGATCCTGGAAGCAGAGCAAACGGTGGCGCTGGCCTCCTACACTGCGTTCCTGGGCTTCGGCTTCAGTGACGGCATCTGGATTTGGTTCCACGTTGGCACTGCAAAGTTTTCAAGTTCAATGCTGTGTTTATAATACTGAAAATTTTAGTGGTTTTTTGGGGTCTTTTTTGGTATGCTTGTTTGTTTTGGTGCCAGGGATCGAACTCACGACCTCGAGTTTGCCAAGCAGGAACTTACGCTGCTGAACTAAACCCCCAGCCTGAAAATTTTAGTTTTAAATAGAAGTTCATATTTTACTTAAGATGATTTTAGATACTAAGATTTACTGAATGTCATCTCTGGTTGATTTGGGTGCAGCACTGAACGTCTGCAACGCCCTTGCAAGCTGCCTTCCTTGCCGTAGGTCAAGCCTGTCGAGGCTGAACACCAGGGCTGCCTGGCTCCAAAGCATACGGGTCCGTTAAACACTGCAAGGCAAGAGAATTGAAGGGTCGACTGCTGCCGTCTCAAGCTGATGTGAGGTGCCGAGTGGGCAGCAGGGAGGCCTGTCCAGGCCTGCTGCCACCTCATGGCGGATGCCGCAGGGGCCTCCCCACATACAGCCAATAGCCGGAAGGAGAGAGAAGGTGGCAAATGACCCCCGATCAACACTGGAGGTGTGATTTCCCTAGGGGATGGCAAGTGGGTCTTCTTGGTCACCTACAGAGACAGCCCAGTTAGTTCAGGATGACACCGACAGGATTTTCTGTCCCCACTCCAAGCTCCTATATCACCTCCAGCCTGAGCAGACCCTACCAGAATCCTGTTCTCTGGTCCTGCAAATCCTTGTATCCTGTCCGAGTCATAGACAGCCCCGTTTCAAAGCGGCAGCAGGTGTCCTATGGCCTTGACCACCATTTCTGCACCAGGGTATTGCCAAGGACTTGTGAATGCCCCAGATCCGGCCACCTGAGTCTCTGGGCTGACATTTCTGCCTCTGCTGCTGGCTGAGCGTACAGAACCACTAGGTCTGAGGAGCACAAGACAGCCCACGGCAGCTGGCTCTGGAGCTGAACACTTACTAAGTGTCAGGCCCGCATGGTCCCCCAATGTTACTGTACTTAATCTTCCTAAGAACTTTGTGCAATAGTTATTATTTTCTCTTTTGTGGATGCAAAATATATCTCTCAGAGCCCCTGGTCCCAATTCCAGCTCTGCCGTTTATCAGCTGCATTTCTCTAAGTGCTGCTGTCCCCCTAATACTCTGGCTGCATCTGTTTCCCGGGATTTCAGGAGACACAGCAGTCACATCCCCTGTAAGTCTTTCTTCCTCATGTCCAAGATAAAACATCTCCAGTTTTGTTTATGTCTCTTAGGGTACAGTGCTCCAAGCGCACAGTTCTGGAATTATAGCAACCAGGATTTATCTGAACATTGATTTTCCATCTGTCTAAGATGCAGTAATCAGAATCTCATCCCATCATGTAGCTGTGGTGAGTAAATAATTTGACAAATGTTAGCACCTAGCACCCTGGCACACAACAGTGTCTTCCAAAGATACCGCTGAAGGTTTAGAAACTCTTCCTGCGCCCATTTCTGAGGAACTCACTCATGCCAGTGTGTTAACACCTGTGCTCACCTCATATGACATTCAGAACCACACATCTGGGCTGCCTTGTTTTTTAGGGGATACCGGGATCTGCTCTACCTACCAGTCGAGATTGTGCCTCTGGAGAGGGAGTAGGAGGCCAGGGTGTATGAAGGAGACCAGGGTCACACACTTCCAGGAGCCCACTCACGCTGTGCTGATAAGCCGCAGCTCAAGAACAAGGGATAAACATACTTGTGTTTACTCTGGAGTCCAGGAGGAAAGGCATCAGTCTATATGAAGCCCTTAGATTTTCATTTCATTAATTCCATCAGCGCAACCATTAGGAAAATCTCCATCCCAAGAATGTTAGTGTTTGCAATACCAGGAGCAGATCAACTTGAATGGTACCACGACCCTCACCTTCTCCGGTCTTCCCACATGCAAACAATGGCCTTCTTGTGGTTCTTAGGCCAGAGAGATTAGCCAGTTCTGCTCAAGTTTTGAAGTTCTTAAAAGCACTATGCCACATAAAACTGACTTTTGCACAAAGGTCCTTCATCTTCAGCCCTGGTAGGGCATAATTCCGCCTACAAAGTTTAGTCTGTGCAAGATGGGTGCCCACAGAGCTCGGTTCCACACCATCACAAGGACTCAGGCTCACAGAGGTCTGCCACCTTCTCTGTGTCCACAGCTTTGCTCTGGGCATCAACACTTAGCAAACAAGGAAGGAGAGGGGGCCAGGTGCAGATGGTGTTTCGTGAGCCAGGCCTGCAAGTCTGCAAGCGGCACGTGACTGCGCTTATGGTGCGAAGACCGGGAAATCTATGTTAACTTGCACCCAAGACTAAAAGGAAGTAAATTTGATGAATAACTGGCTACTCTCTGCTACAGGCAGCAGCGTGATTTGCCTGGTACACAGAGTAATGCACCTTTTTAATTGATTATGCATAACAGTTAAGCATCCTGTCCTCTGCCTCAACCTCTCCTTCTGGACTAGTTTCTGGCCATGTCTTCCCAAAAGCAGAGTCCAATTTAAGTATTTCTCCTAGACAATAAAGAATTCCCCCTCAAAAAAAAAAAAAAATCAATTCTGCTGCCAACTCTAGAATTCGTAAATATTTCCTGTTATTTTTATGTGTATTTTGTTCTCCATAGAAACAAATGTTTTTAAAAGTTACTCATAATCCTATAATTCCATTAATTTTAATATGTTTCTTTCTCATACATTTTTATATGCTGAATCTTGTATGATATGCACAGTCCTATGCACATGATTGATTTTCCTTGAAGCTGAACTTCGAGAAGGTTAATTAACCTGCCCAAAGTCACATTGCTAGGAAATAGAGAGCCAGACTTCTAACCATGACAGGAGCCCAGAGCCAGGGCTCTTATCAGTATCCTACCCACGGAATCCTTTGTATTTTTTTCTGACCTCTTACCTATCTACTGAGCGGTTATCTGTGACAATCACAGTGTGCTTAATCTCCTTCATTCAGTATCAGCTCTGAGAAATTAGGAGCTGTATTCAGTCTCTCTTTGCTACCACAAGGCCTGCCCAAAGTAGCTATTTAACTCTACCACTCACAAAAATAAACATTTGTCAGACATTGACATTGGAAGTGGGTCCTGGTGCAAACCGAGGCCAGGTCACGGTTCCCCTCTCTATTTCACACAGCAGCTAAATCACAGACTTCAGGACCTAACAGCCCTGAGATCCTGCTTCCCCACCAGAACTATATCACTTTGGCAAACTACTGAGCTTCTCCCGAAACTCATACATTGCACAGTCAATACACAGTATGGATAATATTATTGCTAATATTATCACTGTTACTATTGCTGACTTCTCCAACTTATTTATAAGGGAACAAAGCTTCTGAGGCCTGGGAACATCAAGGAGGTGGAATTTCAGGTGGCTTTGTGTGACCTTCAGAGAACAGAGTAGAATAAGTACTCTTTAGGGGAATTCTTGACCCTTCTAAAAATCCCATTAAACCTAAACACACATCTGTTAGCACACACCAAGCATGTAGCTCTGCTTTCACCCAGAATTGAGCAGCACAAGGAGGAATATTATATCCAGTAACTCATATGGAACTATTTATCCCCAATCACTTTGTGCTTTTCCTTAAACTTTTCCACAGTCTTTGGTTTCAAAGGCCATTTTGGAACGACTGAATTTCCTTCCAAAGTAAGCCCCCCACCACCATTAAAACAATGTTCTAGGAAAATCTCCTTGGGGCATAGAATCTGTGAGTTTCCAAACTTGCTTTCCCCTGTCTTCTCCTTTTCTTTTAAATAAAAATTGCCCAGGAAACCAAAATTCATTAAGAATGGTGGGGGGGGGGTGATATGACTGAGTTGAAAGGGACTGTGGCTCGCTGTTTAACAGGGAACTCACAAAGATCTTTTAGGGGAATCTACAGAAGCAGAGATTAGGAAGACTGGAAAGGCACCACGAGATCCCATAGTTCTAGCTCCTTATTTTGAGGCATGGAATGGAGTCCCAGAAAAGAGAAATTAATTGTCCAAATGCCACAGCAAGTCAACCAGAGTAGAAGCTTAAACCTAAATAACCCAGATGCCAACTGAATTAGATTAGGTCTTCTAAAAAGTAGAGTGAGCAGGAGTTACAACACTCATGCTTTACCTGGGAGGTGCAAGCCCAGGCAGCCCGAGTAATGAGAGAGGAAGTGAGGCAGGATACTGGCCGCCGCGAGATGTAACGCAAGCATCCTTGCGCCTGCTGTCAGGTCAGAGACTCAGCCCCACTATCCACAGGCAGACCTGCTCAACCAAGAAGCTCAGGAGCTGCCTGAAGAAGCTGGATCTGAGGAAGTACGGGGAATCTAGACATTGCATCGGTGCTGGCCAACAGCAGGAAGCGAGTTAGCAGACACATGACCCAGTTGGGAGAACATTATATAGACACTGCATTGACACCTGTGCTCAAGCTGACCATTGCATCTCAATATGCCTGCACTTTTCTGGGTTTTGCACTGAAGGTACCTCATCCCAGCAGCCCCTCATTCCCAAGCAAACTGACCCCAGAGAACCCAGCATGTCTGAGCTCTGTACCCTCTTCCTTCTCTTTCCTTGCCCACTTCCCAAGTTCCCCTGTGGGAACTTCTGGGAATACTGCCCAGCGTAACTACTGGCTCTTCAGTCTTCATCTCAAAGTCTACTTCTAGAGGAACCAAAGTGCCCACCACACAGTATACTTAACAGTAAATGTTATGAGTAACTATTTTAAAACAACATAACCAAGCCTCCTCCCTCTTCCTTCCAGTTGCTTTGGAAACTTGAAGTAAGTGGTCACCAAAGTCCCCAGGGGACTCCTCGGCTCCCACTGTGAGTCAGTGACCTGAGACGCTTGCATTTGGTTCTACACATTCTGACCAGAAGAATGATGCTCTGGTTTGCAGGTGGTCTGAGTGTGTCCTCCAAGTGTTCAGGCATGAGAAGCTAGATCCTTGTCTGGGTTACTTTTCTCTCATTGCTGAGACAAAATACCTGATGCCAAAATTA